CACGTTGGACGTGGCGCAAGGGAAGACCTGCCGTGAGCGTTGTTTCCGGTTTGGAGAGGACAGGGATTGTGGCGACGGACGTCCCCAGGTGAGGGTGGGCCTGCACGCCACGTGCCGGCCACCCGGGAGTCCTTGCTCTCTTGGGGACGGGGGTGGTCAGCGCGTGTCAGGAGTCACCACCACCGGACCTGTGATTTTGAAGGCCGGTCCTTCTGTTGACATGAGACGAGGGGTGTTCGAAGCGGCTTTCTTGTAACTGTCATTTGGAATATTTGCTCGTCACCGTTAAGTATTTATTGAGGACCTACTAGGATTCTTGGTAGAGACTTGGGGGCCGTAGGTACCAGGATTCAAACGCCAGCGACGCTCTCAGACTGCGTCACCATCGTTTGTGTCACGTTGTGACCTCTCCGGGTCGCAGGGGTGCACATGGGCCGTGCACCTGTGTGCGTGCAGGGACGTCTTGTTTAGCGAGACCACAACTTGCTGCAAGCAGGGACTGCCGCCCTCGTTGGTCACATGCGGTGCCACGTGTCAGGTGGATGTGAACGCTTGATTTATGTTGAATTGACGCGCTACTAACGAACCTGGAGAAGATTGGTGGGAAGTGATTTTCAGTTTGATGCTGGAAATAGCAGGTTTCTTTGCCAATTTGAGTCGAAGGGACTGGCCAATGCATTAGCCAGGAGCCAGTGTAACGTTACCAATAATGAAAGCTGCCATAGGCGTACTTGCTGTGACCCAGATGCTCCTTAAGTGCTCGTTTCGTTGACGGAAGTCCTCTCGCCACTTCCTGTGTGCGAGGAAACCCAGGCCTCTCCCTGCAGCCGCTGCATATTTCACATCTGCTGTCGGGTGTGAAATCCTCAACTTCAGGGGCTCAGGACCGACCTCATAGTCCCCCGCCCAGGACGAAGTCCTCCCAGTAGTTCCTGCCTTAATGAACAGCTCCCCCCAGCGCTCATGAAAACTTGGGCACTTGCGTCTTCCACCTCCTGTGACAAGGACCTGACCACGTCTTGTAACTTTCACCTTCTCCCCATCACCCGACTCGCCCGCGCACCAATCCCTTCGGCCTCCCGGCCTCCCATTAACCCACTGCCCGCCCCTACCCTGCAACCTCCAAGGGGTCAGAGCAGTCCTTCTAGAGGGCATGTGTCATCCTGCTGCTGGGGACACTATCACAGCCACAGGGGCCTTTGGACTCTGGCCACGCCCACCTCTCCAGCTTCCTTTGGTACCACTCTTCTTCTCCTACTGTCCCTTTTTTTTTTAAGTTTATTTATTTGGAGAAAGAGAACGAATGGGAGAGGGGCAGAGAGAGAGAATCCCAAGCAGGCTCTGAACTGCCAGCTCGGAGCCTGGCTCAGGGCTTGAACCCGTGAACTGTGAGATCATGACCTGAGCCAAAATCAGGAGTTGGATGTTTAACCAGCTGAGTCACCCAGGAGCCCCTCATCCTGTCCCTTTGAGCTAAATTTGACCTTTTTCAGTCCCTGTACTCACCAGGCTTTCTTTTTTTTTGCAAGGCCTTTGCACATGCTCTTCTCACCATCTGGAATGTTCTTCCTTTCCCTCGCTTGCAGTTGATGTCTGTTTATCCTTTACATCCTTTACTCCCAAGCTTCTTTAGAAAGTTATTTTCCATCCTCCCGGACAAGGTGACACCTTCTTTTTTATTTTATTTTATTTTTTTTAACGTTTATTTATTTTTGAGACAGAGAGAGACAGAGCATGAACGGGGGAGGGTCAGAGAGAGAGGGAGACACGGAATCTGAAACAGGCTCCAGGCTCTGAGCGGTCAGCACAGAGCCCGACGTGGGGCTCGAACTCACGGAGTGTGAGATCGTGACCTGAGCCGAAGTCGGCCGCCCAACGACTGAGCCACCCAGGCGCCCCCAAGGTGACACCTTCTTATGAAATCTTTTTATTCGGTCTTGTAACTTCTTGCTGGCAGTGGTCACAGCTGTGGCTTTGCGTCTGTCCATGAGATTGGTTGGAAGCCCCCTGGAGAAGGCACCGGTTCTGGTTTTCTTCCTGCTTGCCTTTCCGGTTCATGCCTGACACCTGCCTTACTTCTCTGACCCTTTCCCATGACCTGCTCCCTGAGCACAATGGCCTTTGCCCTGCTGCTCCTTGAATGCTCTAAACGCCCTATCTCAGGGTTTTTGTACCTGGTATTTCTTCTGCCCAGACCCACTGCTTTGACCTCCTGCTCCCTCAAGAGTAGTCCTTTTTAGATGTTACCTCCTCAGAGAAGACTTCCCTCATCACCCTATGTGAAGTACCCCCCCACACACACACACAGTGAGATCACTTCGTTTGTTTGCTTTATGACAACTGCACATATCATTATCATTTCCTGTACTTGTTTATTGTGTGTCTCTTCCCACTAGACTGTAAGCGTGCTGAGAGCAGAGGCTCTGTCTCTTCCGGCAGCTGATCCCAGCCCCTGGAATGGTGCTGCAGGAGGCATTCGGTGAATACTTTGTTGAATGAACGAACGAACATATTCAGCACATAGCACATATACACACGTACAGCCCGTGTCCTAACTTCTGTGCACCAGCCTGTAAAATCCATGTGCTTAGCCTAGAAGTTTTTTTTTTCTAATTGATCAAAGTAATACTAATGATAAGCACGATATAAAAATTAGCCATGTGCTATGGGCACTGTTCTCTGAGCACTTTCACATACGGTAACTCGTTTAATCCCTGTTTCACAAATGAAGAATCAGCAGCACAGAGAAATTAAGTAAATTGTTTAAGGTAACACAGGAAAAAAGTGGCAGAACCAAGATTCAAATATAGCTAGTCTCGATGTGTGCCCTTAACCATTATGCTATGTGGCCCCTCGAAAAAGAAAAAAAAGGCTAAAAGGGGTAGGTCAGAATCCCTAGGACAGAGTCTTACCTTCACGGAGCAGGAATGGATATCCTTGAGGCTCGCACCTCTTCCTTCAGATCTCTGCTCAGATATCACCTTCCAGAGCAGCTAGCTGATCACGAGCACCTCATGGAAACAGTCTTCCCGCTCCCACCCCCTGCCCACGTTCCTGATATCCTGCCCCCGCTCCCCCCACCCCCCGTCCCGGCCCAGTGCTTATCACCACTCGATGTATCTGTTCATCTCCCCTCCTTAGAATGTGAAGTGCATGACAGTGGGGCCTTTGGCTCTTCTGCGTTGCTGTCGAAGCCACTGGGAAGCCCCAGTGCCTCGAGCAGGGACCGGGGGTGCAGTCAGCACTCTGCGTATTCGCCGGGGGAGTGAATGCTCACTGCTGTTTCCAAAACCAACCAGATTCTCTTGGCAGCCAGGTGGATACGTGCCCTGTCCACCAGCTGCTTCCCCGTCACGTTGTGCTGCGTGAGGCTTTTTAGCTAGACTTTATGGCCTCGCTCCCTCACTTCTTCCCCATGCTTCTACTTCCGCCGTCATTAAACCCGGCTGCTGCTTGGAGGCTGTTAAGGTGTCCTGTTACCCACCCGTTCTCCACATCGAGGCAAGAGAGTCGAGTGAGAGCAAGAGTGGCTTTGGTGTTGATGGCTTGTCTGTTTCTACAAGCCTCTCTCATCCTGCCTGTGGAGGAAAAGTCGGCTGAGGTTCGGGATCTGAGCTGCGTGAGAACGTTTCGTAGCCAGAACTGCCGTACCTTATCCGTGGCTTTTCATTTCAAGTCTGTTGTCCATTCGTACGAGTTGTGAATCATGGCTGCTTCTTTCCTTTAAACAACAAGGAGAATGACTCTGCCTTCTCTGATTTTTTACCTAGTTCATAATCCTCTTTCTTACTTTATCCCCCGAGATCATCCTGTATTTGTTTTTGTGTTTTAGGAAATGCCCTAACGGATTGGCTCCTTAAAGATGTTTATACACATTTTGAACATGCCATTTAAAATTTTGTCTTTTCTCAGTGCAGGTAAATGACCAAACTTTTGAATAACTTAACTGCTGCCTGATTGTAGATTATATTCCATCAAACATAAATGGGTGTCACAGTAACTGAGATGAGAAGTAGCTGGTTCTAAAATAAAACAGACTTATGGGCGCCTGGGTTGCTCAGTCGGTTAAGCGTCCGACTTCGGCTCAGGTCATGATCTCGCGGTCTGTGAGTTCGAGCCCCGTGTCTGGCTCTGTGCTGACAGCTCAGAGCCTGGAGCCTGCTTTGGATTCTGTGGCTCCCTCTCTCTCTGTCCCTCCCCCACTCATGCTCTGTCTCTCTCCCTCTCTCTCTCTCTCTCTCTCTCTCTCTCTCAAAAATAAATATTAAAAATTTTTTTTTAATGAAACAGACTTAAAAATGAGGAATGATATGTAATAATTTGACTATGACTGTAGTAACAGAAAAAAAAGGTGTTCTCAACAGTTTTGTTTTTGTTTTTAAAGTTAAAAGAGGGAGTTTTTGCTCATCTGGAATTCTGTGAACAGTTTCTATTCTGGAGCAGAGAAAGGGTTTTCTTGTTGATTTTTCAACATTGAGATAAAATTGATACTTAACATTGTGTTAGTTTCAGGAGTACAACATCATGACTTGACACATGTGAAGTGATCATCTCACGTGGGTTAGTCAACATCCATCACCACCCGTGGTTACGCTTTTTTCTCCTACCACGAGCACTTTTCAGATCTGCTTTCTTAGCAGCGTTCATGTTGCTGTGCTGTGCATCACATCTCCAGCGTTTACTTCTCTTATAGCCGGAAGTTAGTGCCTTTTTGATACTTCTGCCCATTTTGCCCACACCCCCAGCCCAGCCCTCGCTTTTGGCAACCACCAAACTGTTCGCTGTGTCTGTGAGTTCGGGTGTGACTTTTTGTTTGTTTTTAATTTTTTTAATGTTTATTTATTTTTGAGGGGGGGAGGGGCAGAGAGAGAGGGAGACCCAGAATCCGAAGCAGGCTCCAGGCTCCGAGCTGTCGGCACAGAGCCTGATGCGGGGCTCGAAATCACGAACTGAGAGATCGTGACCTGAACCGAAGTCAGACACTCAACTGAGCCACCCAGGTGCCCCTATTATTTTGCAAGTGACCTGGACTTCTTTGCAATATACGTAGCCAGTTCTGATACTTTCAATGTAACGCGCTCCCTGCCTCATCAACATGTACTTCCCTGTGGTTTCTCCGCTTCCGCTTGCCCCCAGCGCCCGCAGGACAGCGACCAGAGCCTGGAGGCCGGCTGTTTAGAGGGGGGCTGAGGGTTCCCCGCGACAGAGCCCCTCGGACCTTTATTGACAACAGATTCTGGGTGTGTGAGGAGCCTCCGGGTTACTCAAATACACACGAAGGCGTGTTTTCGTCAGAGAGCCCTCCAGCTGTGTGCCAGCCCCTCTGGGCTGCTCTGACTCCAGCTGGGGAGTCCTGAAGGGTGCACACACCTGCATTCTAGACTCCCAGGGGACCCCCGGCCTGATTGACAGTCCCGCTGGATCCTTTGCACCTTCTCTTCTCTCCACTCCGCTGCCACTGCTGATCTTTGCTTCAGTAAATGGCCGTGTTCCTTTCTCTTTTCCTTCTCCAGCACCAGAACACTTCTGGGTGAGGATCCCAAATCCCTCTGTGCCGACGCTTCCCTGCCTTCCCTCCCCCAACTCTCACAACTTCCACAGGACTCCCGATAGCTCTCTCTAGCTTGTCCTTACTTTGCCTGAGTTCTGGCCTGCAGCTGGGATGACCCGCTGGTTCTTTCTTTCTATTTTTTTCATGTGTGTTTATTTTCGAGAGAGAGAGGAGTGCAAACGGAGGGGGGACAGAGAGGGAGGGAGGGGGGAAGAGAGAGAATCCCAAGCAGGCTCTGAGCTGTCAGCGCAAAGCCCGCCGCAGGGCTCCATCCCAGGAGCCGTGAGATCACGACCTGAGCTGAAATTGAGAGTCAGACGCTTACCCGACTGAGCCCCCCAGGTGCCCCAGCTCTGGTTCCGTCTGATTGCACACCCCCCTGCCACTTCAGTCTCTACGCCCCTAAAACCAGATGGGCCACTTTCGCCCTGTAGCCAAGTTCTGTTTCTCTCATGTCGATTCTGAAATAACACTGATTTGTTTTCCTTGCAGGCTCTTCAGCAAAAGCCCTTGTCAGTTTAAAAGGTAAGATCATAGCGCGATCCTTCAGGTATGGCATAAGGTGGAAATTTAATTCATTAAATTAATGGGGATACAATGTTTCTCTTTTCTTTCTAAATTAGGCTTCATTCTAACTTTTAAGTATTGGTTTTCACTGATGAAATTTTAAATTCATAGACTGTTATAGGAGAATTGGTCCTTGGTTGTTGGAAATTACTAAGAAATTTTTTCCCCTGGGGTGCCCGGCTGGCTCAGTCGGTAGAGCATGCGACTCTTGATCTCAGGGTTGTGAGTTTGAGCCCCACAGCGGGTGTAGAGATTACTTATGAATAATAAAATCTTAAAAAGACATAGAAAAATTTTCTCTAGAATTATTGATTAAATAACTTTTTTATAATTTGCAGGTAATCTCTACCCCCAACGTGGGGCCCAAATTTATGACCCCCAGATCAGGAATCACACACTCTACCGGCTGAACCAGCCAGGTGCCCCAAACCCCAAGAACTTTTTAAGTAAACATTGCAGACATCATAGTAGAGTGAAAGCATTTTTTAATTAAGGCTTTTAAAAAATGCTTATTTATTTTTGAGAGAGAGAGAGCACAAGTGGGGTAGGGTCAGGGAGAGGGAGACAGAGAATCCAAAGCAGGCTCTGAGCTGTCAGCACAAAGCCTGACACGGGGCTCGAACCCACGAACTGTGAGATCATGACCCCAGCCAAAGTCGGATGCTCAACCCGTTGAGCCACCCAGGCGCCCCTAGAGTGAAAGTATTTTATTGAACAACTGTGCTCAGCTGTATTTTTGCATGAGTTTATTTCTTAGGAATCTGGCCTTAAAAATAATAATGTAAGTCTCTTGAAATAAAAGAATGATAGTACTTTTCTCGGAAGAAAAGTTGTACATGTTCCTTGGTCTTTTTCTTTCTGCACGTACACTGGCCACCCCTCTTACTGTAGTTTGTTTTGAGATTTTGCTTGAGCAGGATTCTGCCGGGTAAGTAAATCCTGAACCAGGCTATGCTCAGAGTACTTTCAGTACTTGTTCAGTACTTTTAGTTTTTAGAGCTACTGTGTTGTGTGTTGTGTCGGTGATTTTCCGCATTAAGTCCCCGCTTGAGAACGCTTGTGTCTACGACTACCCTGATGTGTTTGCCTGGCAGGGTCGGCCCCACTCTGCCTTTTTTGTGCTTCTTAAAATGTACATCTGAAAAAAGTATTCCGTTATTCTTTTCCTCCCAATATTAAAACCATTTCGCTTTCAAAAAGTACATGTACAAGTGATATATTTCTTACAGAAAACGGTTAGAAAATGCTGATGAGCACCTAGAAGGAAATAAAAATAACTGTCTTGTGTGTATTCATCCTAGTTTTCTGTGTCTTTATGTAAACATATCCTTTTTGTAAAAATTGAGCTCGCTCTCTTTATTTTCATAATATCTCTCATCAGTTACCTGATCAGATTGTTTCCGGTTGCAGATAGCTCTGAAGACATTTCTTTGAATCAAGGAAAACAGAAACACCCACACGTTTTATTTTTGTATAGCCAGGGTTTCACATATCGAAGCAGGAAACGTTTAGAAATATACTCTAAATTCAAAGTCAGAAGCTTTTTCCATTTTTCCACTGCCTGTTTTCAATCAGATTGTGCTTCTTATTCTTAGCAAATTAGAATGAAGGAATTACTAAAACACAAAGAAAGAAACCACACATATTTTAATAGGAGAATTTAACACTTTCAAGATTCAGTGCCTTGTCCGATTATGTAGCGCTTGACAAAAAAAAATACGGAAGAGATTTTTCATTTGTAATAAACCAAAATTACTATGCTCAGTATATTTTTTCCATATTGGTAAATATTGCAGATATATTGCTGTTAATAAAAAGGCAATGTTTGTAGTATAAAATCCTTTGAACTTAAATCTTATTAGTAATAATTACTTATTACAGAGGGAAGCTTATCTAACACACGGAATGAAAAGTACAGCTCTTTACAAAAAACACCTGTTTGGAAAGGCAGGAACACGGGGTCTACTGTGGAAATGGTAAGGAATTAGTGTTTCTTACTCTTTAGAATATGATAGCTAAATTGTCTGTATTATTGTCATGTGCAGATTCTTACAGGACAGCAAGAGTTTCCCAAGGTTTTCCCCATCTCCAGGCATTTGAGTCTTTAAGTGTCATTGAGTAGTATACGATCATACTCCATCAGTAGCCTTTGATAATCTGGTCATCAGGCATTTATTAAGCAATTGCACTGTCTTTAGTAGGCAAGACGAAAAACAAACAAACAACCACACACACCAACCTCTGATCACTCCAAGTCATACTTTATTTAGAATACAGAAAATTTCACATGCTCCCTGCAAAAAGATATAGAAGTAAGTGGTAAGATCTCAAAATCTCACGTAGGTCAAGGGTAAGTACAGGTATGATAGAAGGGACTTCCTGCCAGGGCTATGGGGTGTTAAGACTCTCGGTGGGTTTAATTTCAAGGCCCGGCACCTCTAGCCTTGACTCTGTTGGATGCTGGCCGTATGCTGTGAACCCTCTGTGCCTACCTCCCTTCCAGCTGGGCGGGAGACCGTGTCCAGTGCTGGGACAAGGATTTGAAACAGGATGTGGGTACGATTGGGATATTACTTCTGTTGTCCTTCTCTGTTGCCGAGGCCTCCGAACCCAGGGTGGACTGTAAAATTGTTCGTATTACTGACCCTTAAGCGTATGGTGTCTTTTGGGCACTTAAGCCAGTTAGTTCTGGTTCTGTGGTCTAGTTCGGTTCTCCGGGCACTTATCAGATACCCGAGATAGGAATCTTGTGCTTTTGTTCACAAATGGAAATTCGGGTAACAGTTCTCGACAGAGTGTCTAGTATGTTATTACGCGTTTCAGTTGAGTCTCTCGCGTGATGTAGTAACTTTGTCCAGCCCAGCCCTGTGCGGCGGACGCCGTATGATACACCCCCTGCTGTCAGTCTGAGCACTGACACGACGAGGTCTGGAATTGTCAGAGCTTACTTTCCTCTTGCACGTTCAAGGCTTCTAAGGCCACTTGGGTTCCAATTTTACTCATCAGCTAGGTGTTTGAATTGTAAACAGATTGCATCAGTATGCACGTCACTGCTTTGTAAATCTAAGATCAGTCACGTCTGACTTTGAGCGCTTGGTCTCACCGACACTCCATCCTTCCAACCTCAGCTGGATCACCCAGGTACAGGATTAGATTTTGGAAGAAAAATGAGAAGTGTTCGGTCTTTTTATTAAAGAAACAAATTTCTATCCTAGCCTTTCAGAAACTCAAAGCGAAGTCGACTCTTTTCTGACGAAGACGACAGACAAATAAATACCAGGTCCCCTAAAAGAAACCAGAGAGTGGCGATGGTCCCGCAGGTACGTGTGTCACAAGCATTTTGTTCCACGGGAAGGGAGGCAAGTGCTCACGTGATCAGGTTTGTTTTTATTATTCTGTTACGTCTCAAGTAACAAGTTCTTCTTAAGTCAGCGCTCCAACTCAGCTCCTGCATTAGTGACCTAGAAAGGCCATTATTTTTATTGGTGGACTTTTTCCCAGCGTAGAAAGCCAGACCTGTCTCACAAATGCACACTTGCAAGCATGGAGAGGAGAGTGGACTGAAAACAAGTAGGATTTGGTAATAGAATTTGTCAGTTCAGAGTTTTGTAAAGAAATGAGAGGGGAGAAAACATTTTACTTGATGACTGGAAAGTATGTTTTGTGTGTGTGTGTGTGTGTGTGTGTGTGTGTGTTTAAACATTTATTTTTGAGAGAGAGAGAGCACTCACAGGCAAAGGGCAGAGAGAGAGAATCCCAAGCAGGCTCCACGCTGTCAGCCCAGAGCCTGATGTGGGGCTCAATCTCACGAACCATGAGCTCATGACCTGAGCTGAAACCAAGAGTCAGGTGATGAACCGACTGAGCCACCCAGGCACCCCAAAAAGTTCATTTTTTGAAGTATGATGTGCTATCCCGAATTGGATTCTGGGACAGGAAAAGGACATTAGTGGTAAAGTCTGTAGTTTAGTTAATACTGTTGTGCCACTACTAATGTCTTAGTTTTGACAAACCATGGTTATGGAAGGTGTTAACATTAGAGCTGGGTGAGGGGCATATCTTTGCAACTTTTCTGTAAATTTACAATTTTTCCAATCGTTAATTTTTACCTCTACCCGTTCCCTAGGTATGCTTCCTTCAGTAACTAGTGACTGCTGTCATGAGTTTGATTATCCTTTTAGGTCTTTCTAGGGCTTTTCTAAAACTTTAAATAGGTGTTCACAGAAAATATGTGGTATTCTTTAATGTTTCTGGTTTTAAAATTCTATTTGTAGTATTATTTTCATGATAACATACACATCATTCTGTAATTTAGTTTTTCATTTAAAAGTGTTTTGGGGGTGCGTAGGTGGCTCAGTCAGTAAAGCGTCTGACATTGGCTCAGTTCATGCTCTCGTGGTTCGCGAGTTCAAGCCCCTGCATCGGCTCGCTGATGTCAGCACAGAGCCTGCTTTGGATCCTCTGACCCTCTCTCTTTGCCCCTCCCCGACTTGCATGCGCGCCCTCTCTCTCTTTCTCTCTGAAAAATAAACAAACGTTTAAAAAAAAAAATTGGGGCACCTGGGTGGCTCAGTTGGTTAAGCGTCTGACTTCGGCTCAGGTCGTGATCTCACCATCCGTGAGTTCAAGCCCCACATGGGGCTCTGTGCTGACAGCTCGGAGCCTGGAGCCTGCTTCGGATTCTGTGTCTCCCTCTCTCTGCCCCTCCCTTGCTCACGCTCTGTCTCTCTCTCTCTCAAAAATAAATAAAGATTAAAACAAAAATTTTTTTTAATTAAGTCTGTTTTTGAGATTTGGCCATGCTGATTGATTGAGGTAGATGATAGGTAGACTTCAGTGTTTGCTTTCTTTTTACCGTCATATATTATTGAGCCTTACGATACCGTAGTTTGTACGTTCTCTGGCTTACGGGCATTTAATTGGTTTCTAAGTTTTTACTAGTACAGATAATGGTGTCGTGAACACCCCAGGCCTGTCTGTATAAACTTGCAGGTGTTTTTCTAGGACAGATGCCTGACATGTGAAACTGCCAGATCACAGGATGTGCACATTTAAACGTTTTGTTTGGCTTTATTTGCTTTTAATTTATCTCCAAGTTACTTAGCATCTAGTGCAATAATGATTTCAGGAGTAGATTCCAGTGATTCACCCCCCACGTATAACACCCAGTGCTCATGCCAGCAAGTGCCCTCCCTAATGCCCCTTCCCCGTTTAGCCCACCCCCCGGCCACAGCCCCTCCAGCAGCCCTCAGTTTGTTCTCCCTATTTAAGAGTCTCTTCTGTTTTGTCCCCCTCCGTTTTTATATTCTTTTTGCTTCCCTTCCCTTACGTTCATCTGTTTGGTCTCTTAAAGTCCTCATATGAGTGAAGTCATACGGTATCTGTCTTTCTCTGACTAATTTCACTTAGCATAACACCCTCCAGCCCCATCCCCGTGGTTGCAGCAGTTAAACATTGCACAGCAGTCCCACCTCGTTCTCAGAGGCCCCGTGCTGGCTGGTGTGCTCCCCCCCAGCCCGTCCCGGTGCCTGCTTCCCCAGCGTTTGCTGCTCCGCACGGAACCAAGCGTCTGATTTTTGCCGATCCGATAATAGCATCTTCCTGGTTTTCGTTGGCATTTCACCTGTGAGTGACCTCGAGTACTTTTCACATAGGTTTAAAAACGATTTCTTGGGGCCTCCTGGGTGGCTCAGTTGGTTAAGCATCCGACTCTTGATCTCAGCTCAGGTCTTGATCCCAGGGTCATGGAAGTTTCAAGCCCGTCTTGAACTTAATTGCTGGACAGAAACCTGGCGCACCAAGATAAATAGGGGCGCCTGGGTGGCGCAGTCGGTTGGGCGTCCGACTTCAGCTCAGGTCACGATCTCGCGGTCGTGATTTGTTACTTGTCGGGCTGGGCTGATGGCTCTCGGGGCCTGGAGCCTGCTTCCGATTCTGTGTCTCCTTCTCTCTCTGCCCCTCTCCCCTGCATGCTCTGTCTCTCTCTGTCTCAAAAATAAAAAAATAAAAAAAAGTTTAAAAAAAAAGATGAATAGTCCAAAGAAGAAAACTTGATTTCCGTAAACTGTTTGTCTTTTTTCCTATTTTCTGTTAGACTGTTGATCATTTTTCTTTATTAGTTCGCTAAGAATTTTTTTTTTTAATTTTTTTTTAACGTTTATTTATTCTTGAGACAGAGAGACAGGCATGAGCGGGGAGGGTGGGAGAGAGAGAGGGCTACAAGTATCAACAACTCCAGATGAGCCATCAACACCAGAAACCCGACAAGGGGCTTTCAATCCTGTTCCTCGTCTCATAAAATTTTTAGAGCCTGGTGCAATGGAGTTGGCGTCGGCTTCAGCCAGAGTCCGCGATCTCATGAGTCCGTGATTGAGCCCAGCACGTCAGGCTCAGGCTGATGGCCGGAGCCTGGAGCCTGTTCGATTCTTTGTGTCTCCTCTCTCTGCCCCTCCCGTTCATGCTCTGTCTCTCTCTCTGTCCCAAAACAAAATAAAAACGTTGAAAAAAATTAAAAAAAAAAAAAAAGAATTTTTTATATGCTAAGAATATTAGCCATTTGACCTGTTTATATTGATTGTAATTTTTCTCAGTTTGTAGCTTGTTTTTTTGACTCTGTTTCTGCATTTTTTACCATGCAGGACTGAAAAACATTGAAGGGTCAAATACAACTCTTTCCTTTTAGCACTCCCTGGGTTTATACTTACTCAGAAAGATCTTCCTTAGTCTGACATTTATAGTTTTTGAATTCACGTGTATTTAATTCATTTTTTTTTTAATGCTTCAATTTTCACTTCATCTGGGATTTATTTTGGAGTAAGGGATTAGGTGAGACTGCAACCTTGATTTTTCCCAGAGGACTACTTAGTGGTCCTGGTCTCATTGACTGAGTGGTCCATCACGATTTAAAATGCTGCCTGCATCCAGCTCTTGGCCGGCTCAGGTCATGATCTCGAGGTCGCATGATCCAGTCCCCTGTCGGGCTCCTCACTGGGTGTGTTGGGATTCTCTTTTCTTCCTGTACCCCTTCCCTGCTCGCGCTCACTCTCAAAATAAATAAATATACGTTAAAAAATTAAAAAAAAAATTAAGATGCTGCCTGCATCACAAGCTACGTTCCTGTATATTTTTGGGATTATTTCTAGACTTTGCATCTCTTTCTGTCTAGTATGTCCCTGTATGTGCCAGTGTCAAATTGTTTAATATGCTTTTACATAGTGTTTTTGTATCTGCTAAGATATTATTACATATCCTTTTCTTAGGTTCTCAAAAGTATCCTTGCACGTTTTTTTTTTTAAGTTTGCTTATTTTGCGAGAGAGAGAGAGAGAGAGAGAGGGAGAGCATGAGTGGGGGAGGGGCAGAGAGCGAGGGAGAGAGAATCCCAAGCAGGCACTGCACTGTCAGCGTGGAGCCCGATGTGGGGCTCGAACTCACGAACCGGGAGACCATGACCGGAGCTGAAATCAAGAGTCAGACGCTTAACCAATCGAGCCACCCAGGTGCCCCTTCTTGCACAATTATTTTTCCATAGGAACTTTAGAGTGACCCCAACTAGGAGAAAAATTTTGTTGGGATTTTTATTGGTTTCACACTAATATGAATTACTTTATGTCCTATGACGTGTTTGTAACACTGAGACCGTCCGTCCAAGAACTGCTGGTAGGTTCCACTTATTCGGGCCGTGGTGTTCCTCTGTCGACTTTACAGACTTTTCCATGTTGATCTTGTACATTTCTTCATGGTATTCCTAAGTATTTAATACTGTTGTGCTGGTCATTTTTGCTTTCATAAACAGGATATTTCCCCTGTTTTATTATCTAACTGATTCTCACTTATGCAGAGGAAAGTACTGATTTTTTTTTTTTTAAGATACTGATTTTTCAGAAATGTTTATTCAGAGAGAGAGAGTGAGTGAGCACAAGCATGAGTGGGGGAGGGGCAGAGAGAGGAAGAGCGAGAATCCCAAGCAGGCTCCGCACTGTCAGCGCAGAGCCCAACACAGGGCTTGAATCCACGAACTGTGACATCATGACCTGAGCCAAGACCAAGAGCCGGTTTTTTAACCTACTGAGTCACCCAGGCACCCCTTGTTTTGTTTTTCTGTTTATCTATTTTAAGAGAGAGCCGCAAGCGGGGGAGGGAGAGGGAGAGAATCCCAAACAGGCACCGTGTTACCAGTGCCAAGCCCAGTGTAGGGCTCGATCCCACAAACTGTGAGATCATGACCTGAGCCAAAGTCAAGAGTTGGACGCTTAACCGACTGAGCCAGCCAGCCCCCCAGGCGCCCCTAGGGTACTGATTTTTGCACGTCAACTTTGTATTCGCCCGCTTCGTTAGATTCTCTTACTATTGTCAGTGACTACAGTTGATTTTCTTGAGTTTGCTAGGACAGCCATATCACCTACAAATAACGATTTTTGTCTTCTCCTTTACAGTTTTTATTCCTCTTACTGGGTAATTCCATCAAAACAACGTTAAAAAATAGTGATAGTCAATACCTTGGTCTTATCTCCCATGTTAGTGACCGTGGTTTTAGTACTTTGACTTTGACTATGATGATGACTTTTGGGTTGGAATGAGGAGAAATAAGTTTTACAGGTTCAGAAGGTGTCCATCTATGTTTATTTTCTTGGTCAGTAGAGCCAAAGGTTTGTCCGTTTTGTTGATCTGTTCAAAGAACTTTTGGTTTCATCATTTTGTCTCTTATTTTTCTATTTCATTTATTTCTGCTCTAATCTTTTTTTTCCTTGTTTTTTTTAACTTGTTTCATTTTTTATTTTTTAAAATTTACATCCAAATTAGTTCGCATATCGTGCAACAATGGTATCAGGAGTAGATTCCTTAGTGCCCTGACCCATTTAGCCCATCCCCCCTCCCATAACCCTCCCATAACCCTCAGTTTGTTCTCCATATTTATGAGTCTCTTCTGTTTTGTCCCCCTGCCTGTTTTTATATTATTTTTGTTTCCCTTCCCTATGTTCATCTGTTTTGCCTCTTAAATTCCTCATATGAGTGAAGTCA